GGAAAAGACAGTTTTAACAGAGAGAATCAACCTTTCACTGTGTCTTTTGTAATCTCACTGTGATCCCAATTGAGCATCGCAATTGTCTTCTTTTGTCACCTCAGACCGCCTCTCTGACAGTAAAGGATTTATGGTTATTTCCTCCATGCAGCCTGTCCATCTGTGGCTCTATCTTCATATGGCCTTGAGAATACGATTCAATTTATTAAGGCAAAGCAATGGACTCATTACTTTAAAAAGGTGGCAAGAGAGAGAGGGTGAGAGAGAGAGAGAGAAGTGACACACTGAATTGGTTATTAATGGAAAGGCACAGCCATAGGGCAGTTGAAATTTAATGATATCCTACAAGAAAATATGAGGGTGTCACTCTCCAAAAAGTCATGCTAAATGTCAACATTTTAAGGTCCCGGCGCTAATTTTATGCCTGTGCACAGTAATGTTTTGGAGAGCATTTAGGAAACACGGCCCAGTGGCCAGCCTGATTATCCCGCTCACCTTCTCTCCTCTCTCCAAATGGGTTTGTGCAGCAAGCGATTTCATCTCTAAGTGAAGGGAACATTAGGGAGGGGAGAAAGAGAGAGCGATAGAGGAAAACACGCGGTTTGATTTTCATGCTGTGATAAGAGAGTGGGAGCCAAATGTTACCTGTTAATCTAGCCCAAACCGACCGGGGCTCTTGACTTTGTCCCCCAGCAGGGATGGGGCAAACACTCATTTTCCTCTCTCCGTGATGAAAAGGAAATTAGCTTAAATGTGATGAGGGCACATTAGTGTGTGTGCCGTGCATGTGTGTAATGGGTGTGTTTGCGTTTGAAGGTTTTTTGTTTTTTGTTTGCATACGTCTGCGTGCGTGCGTGTGTGTGTGTGTTTTCTCTTGCTTCGCAGTGTATACAGTACATTACACACACATATGTGCAACATATGCAAGTGATAGTCACTCTAAAGGAATTTGTCTTGTATGGATCATCACACACATTCTCACAGTGTGTCCTGCAGGTTTTTCTTTTGCTTTTTCTTTAAGGAAAGTGCATGCAATACCTGCAAGTCAATTTTAACCCTCCAGTTGTTAAATTATATACTATCGTGTACAATTTTTCTGTCCAGGTATTGTGAATCATTTCAACCTTTGTTAACATGTTGAAAAGCTGCTTTCACAACTGTGTGGGGATTGCAATTTAAGAACAAGAGATGTAAAATGATATATCCAGCCTATGACCTACTGTTGTACCTGTTTAAAACTATCAGGCAGTTAAAGCTGAATTTATTTTGCCTGAAAGACCCCTCAGAGTGCAGACATCATTTGCAAGATAAGCCAGCCTCATGTTTTTTTAAAGTGCTCAAATTGCATGCAACTACTTTTTTTTTTTTTTTTTTTGCCCAGCTCTGCATCACTGCATTTGTACCAGAAGACAGATATTTCCCTTGACAAGATTTTCCAAATCCAGCGCTTTAAGTGCAGGTGGAATAATGCTGTGTTAGCTGCTAATGGCTGTCCGAGAGGTCATAAGTACTCCATTTGAAGGAGGCTGGTTTCTCCGCAGCCCTGGCAGGTCAAATCAAATGTAATTGTGCAGTGAAAAGCAGTGCCTTGCTTTGTGTTGGCTGTGCTGACAACCTCCAGGTTTAGCATTCAGTTCTCCTGCTGGGAGGAACACCGGTTTGCAAGGACAAAGGCTTCACCTGTCAATATATCACACTGACTGGCCGGCCAAATGTACCTCTGCACTCCCTCTCTCTTTCCCCCTCTCTCTCCTATCTCTTTTCCTCTCTGTCAGTCTTTCATTCTCCACACACCCATTCTATTCCAGCCTCCTCTTCCTCAGACTCTGCTTCACCTATCTATCCATCCATCTTCTGTCTTCAACCATCTATCTCTCATTCCTGGCATCCTTCTCGTCCTCTTTCTCGCTCTCTCTCTCTCTCTCTCTCTTTTTGTGTGTCTTTCTGTATCTTCCTCTGCTCCCGCTCACACTGCCTTCATGTGAGGACTCTGCTGAAATGTCCTGAGGGACCCAGTTTCAAACACAGGAACCAGAAACATATGGCACATTTTCAACTCCCAAGGTCAATTACAGCTATTTATCCAGAGATTGCAGCTAAATTTCCCAAGGTTTCTTCTAGATTTACCACAGATTGCAATGTGTGTCTGTCACATTTTAAATCAGGCCAGTTTCCTCTGCTTCTCTCCACTCCCTGCAACTTTCCATCAAATATTTCAAAGGCTTTCAAGTGGGTTTTAGACATGTTTTATCTCCGGTTATCATGTGCCCCATCTTTTTTGCCTCAGCTTTGCGAGGTCCAAGTGCCGCTTGCAACACAAATCTAATAACATGTAAATTGGAGATAAGCCCAGATCCCTCCAAGTGATATTTTTTACATTCATAGTTTGTCAAGTCAATTCCTGGGCCCCTGTTTTAGCAGCACAACACATGAGGAGTGAGAAAATTAACTGGATAGGTGATTCATCATTGCTAGCACACTGTCAAGGACTCCCTCTGCAGCTATTGAGAGCAAGGTGGAGGAGGAGGACGGAGAGAGGAGGGGGGCGTTGTTTTAAATTATGGCATTTCATTCAGAATGCATTGTATTTACAGCGTCCCATTTTTATTTGTGGCTCCTATTATCCGCCGAAACAGTTGTGCATGAAATGTTATTTGTGACAGGGGTGACCTGCGAGTGTTTTTCCACACAGTATTTCATAGCCGGGGCCTTAACTGTACCTTTACCGTACGGTAAGCACAAGAGGCTGTCACAGCTGCTGTTGGCAGCCTTGCTAGTGGAGAAATATCACCTGGAAACAGAGTACTCCATTCCACCGGCCCCCATCACTCCAACGCCTGTCGCTGTAATTAAGTTGAAGTCAATGATTCTGGAGCGATGGTGAGAAATAAACATGCAAACACATGCCAGCATTTGCAGCCAGGCACCGGGAAAAAAAAGGGGGGGGGGGTTTGGCTGGGGGATAACATTAGAAGCAGAGAAACTACAGATCTTGATCATGCTCGCTTGAATTTACATTTGAGTTTCATTAACCCAGTTTTGATTATATTGATTGAATTAGTCACTTATTAGCTTTCCCGTTTGTTTCTTCTTTTTTTTGTTTTTTTTTTGAAAATGCCGCTACTTATGCATAGCTCCTGGTGGAAATGTTATCTGACAAGAGGTGCTGTACGGTAGTTGGAGTCTGTCGAACAAAACACGCTGTTTGCTTTTCCCAGAGCATGACAGGTTGTTTCCCCTGCAACAAAGCCATCAAATATTCTGTGTGATCCAACATTGTGTTGGAGGGAAGGCCTGCTGAGTGGGAAGCCGGAGTTTGTTAAAGCAATGATTTATGATTAATGCCAACACTAAATAAGGGACAAAGTGCCTACAGTACAAATCAATTACAAAGCTACAACAGCAGACCTTTCCCCGAGGTCTACTAACGTCTCTAGTTGTTATGGTGATTTTATTAGAGGTGGGTGATGCATGCATATAATGCATGCAATACATCTATATCAAACTGAGCTGGAGCCAACTGTAATGCTTTTGATCTTTGATTAGTTATTTTATTGAGATAAAATGGGACTTTCATGTTATGCCACTGTATAAGGAGAGTGCATTTTATATCTCCACCCAGACGCCCACCTCAAAATGCAGACAGGACTGCACCAAACAAAACAAATTACCACAGGAGTGGCTTCTTAAAAGTAGGCAATTCATTATTTTTATGAAGTCAAATTATAAACAAATTTTAATCCATTAGGCAACCATCCATTCTAATTAATCAACAGGAGTGAACTCCATCTGAAAAAGGAGAAAGGTTGTTTACTCTCTCCACGGACCAGCGGTGCATATTTCACCATCTTCCCCTCTCAGAGAGAAAAAAAAAAAAAAAGAAAAAAAAACGTTCTCCAAATTACAAACCTAAACTGTGAATCCTAACACTCGACTTTTGGCGCAGAGATGTTTCCAGGGCATTTGCAGATGCTTGAAATAATCTCCAATGTTTTTGCTCAATCTGCTCTGAGGATGGGTGAAATAAATACTTTAAACTAATTAATGTAAGACCAGCTGTTCCCAGCACTTGGCTGGCGTTGGTGAATATTGATGGGAGGGAGAGGCAGGGCTGTTCAGCTCCACTCGCTGTTTGTACAAGATTCAGCCTGCCACATAAACAGATATGAATACTGGATGAGAGCAGAGAGGTGCTGTGCACAACACAGCCAGGGCTCCACATTACAAATAAAACTTTTCCCCCTTTCATTAAATTAACAATTAAACAGCTGATGGTGCAGACTTCCTGTGGCGACCTTTTTAGACTGGATGTGTTTAATAAACTGTCTCTCTGCAAGATGGTAGCACTTATAAATTGTTGGCGTGATAAAAGCTCACTGGACAAAAACATGTGTCAGATCTGATGGGGCAGCAAACGGCAGTGTCGGACATACTGTTTTAGTTTGACCAGGCTGTATCTGTGTCTGCCGGTCTGCCTCCTGCTTTCTCTCCCTCCCTCTTCTGCTCCTCTTTCCTCCTCTGAGGCCTGGTGAAGAGGCTGGACAGCAGATGGCAGGGCCCTACCCCTCTGCCGGTGATGAATGGAGTATGATGTCATCTTAGGTTTGACAGGCACCCGTGCGTGCATACACAAAGGAAGCACGAGCCTCTGGGGTAGAACTGCAGGCCTGCTTCTGATTTTGGAGTCCACATGACAGTTCTTAAATGGGGGAAGCTGGATTTATGTCCTAGTTGATATTGTTTAACCCCACACTTCGGCCTAGAGAAGAGGCGATACAAAGGAATCTCCAAAAAGCTAGTCTGCTATATTTCTAAGAAGAAGGGAGAGCTGGGATTGGCAATACTGTTTGCTACTTTGTCAATTCAAGTAAGGGTCAATATGTGTCACCTTGGCCAACAACAGTTCACATATTCTGCTACTTAGCTTGTTTTCCTGTTGCACAAATAGTAGATTTTATGAATGATTCATCAATTGTCAATGCCACTTTTCTTTTTTGCAGATGATAACCCATTGTGTACCCCAACAGCAAGAGATAGCTACGAGAGGTTGTCGTTGGCTGGACAGGCTCTACCTCCTGGCTTCCCCTCACCATTTCTCTTCCCAGACGGCTTGTCGTCAATAGAGACTCTCCTCACCAACATACAGGTATTGTCAGCTGACCTGCGACCTGACCTGTGTCCTCATAACGAGACAGAGCTAACACACTTTGACACAACTTCCTCAAAAGGCTCACTGCTAGAAGTGACTTCATCATCTCCTGACGGTTTACACAGTAGAACAGTTTTACACTGCACCTCATGTAGCCAGGACTCAACCTTTGTACTTTGAATGTTTAAAGCTGCTATTTGACAGTAAGACAGTAAACATTGGTTTTCATTAACCATAATGAATGATGATGAACTTTCCATTAATGTGACAATCACCGGGATCTTTTCCAAACATTACCCAAGAAGAGCATGCACGTTCATGGAAATGGTACTTTGACAAAAATATCTTGACTCAAGGTCCACTTACTAGCTTGTTCCATTGTTCAACCGCTGTTGTCCTTGACAACTGGGCGAACTCCAGCCAGTGAAAAAGACTGTGACAGACGATTGAAAGCTCTGGAAATAGCTAGCAAGACAATATTGATTTAACATTTCTTTGCTTGTCAAACTTGGCCAAGTAGTTTTAGTCGTCTAAACTTAACCGCACCATCGCCAAAGATATGGCTGAGCCAAAAATGCTCATATGGGTAATTTTCAAATCCACTGACAGTCTATTTTGTGTACCCAAAGAGAAAAAAAAACTAAGCAGGTGTCTTTACAGCCAGTTGAATGCTGGCTTCATGATTTTAAAAAAACAAAGTCATTATATATGAATTTATTCTTCATTTATTGATTTTCTTCAATGCTATTTTTACCAGACCTCTGAACACTAGAAAAGTAACCATCATCCACATCCTCCTCCCGAGATACTAAACAGATACACTCAGTTTGTAAATCTGCATACCTTAACAATACCCATCTACTCATCCTGCCATTAAGTCTTCAGCTCAAACACCCTCAGTCAGAAAGATGAATGTATTCGCCTTCTGTCTGAGTGTAATGATGTGTGTACACTGCTGCCCTTCTCATTGCACTTGTACCGTTGGCATCAGAGTCCTGCTTCTCCTTTGGCTCCGCGTGGTAATTAGAAAGCCACAAGTAAACCCGTCGCAGGCTCCCACCACTCCACTAAGTCATTTTTGATAATGATCTTCGTGTTGAATATTTATATACAAATCAACAAAATGAAACCAAGCAGAAAATTAAGATAAAGCAACTTAGAATAAATTGGGGTCAGAAGAATCAACAATTAGTAAGATATAGCCCAGTGCATTTGATATAATTGCGTGTGGATGGGGAATAATTGTGATGAAAATGGCCACAGTACTGTACAGCTCACACATGAGAACGCTGTATCTCTCAGTTTAGGGCTGTCAGGAGTGTATTTGGAATGGCATTAATGTAATTGATACATGATGAGATACTTGTCATTCATATTATTCATTCCTGCTGTGCGCTGCGAGGAGCTTGAAAATGTGCCACGGAGACTGATATTGTGTTTTTATACCAATCGAGTTACAGTTGTCAGCTGTGGAGTTGACAGAGAGCAGTATGAAAAAATACAACAAAAAGGGAGCGTGAAGAAGCTGATCTCGCCCATGTAAAACTTCTACTACTTCATCTCAACTTTTAATTTGAAGGCGCTGAAGTGTTTCCTGTTTCTTTCTTGAATTTTCCCAATCAAGAAAACTTATTTTAGGTTTGGTTCCCACAGCCCCAGCATGTTCAGTCTGTCTCCACTTGTATTTCACAGCTTTGACCAAAAGGGGTCAGACATATCCAGCTCTCTCACTTTATTAGCTATCATTATCATTCATTATTTAAAAAAAAAAAAAAAAAAAAAAGATTATTACTAACACTCTGATTGATCAATTCATGTTACTGGATCTTGTGCGAGCTGTGGAGCAGCTGACAGATAATGACATCTTCACAGATAAAAGGACCAGCAAAGGTGGTAGCGCGCCTGAAAAGAACCATATAGCAGCAGTCAGCTTTTGGCCTCCTGTTCTGCTTCACTACTGTGGGCAGTACAAAGAACTGCTGTGACATACTTTCAGTGTGGTTTGCTGTCACTTCTTCTTGAAGCCCTTAAATAGCCCACATCACTCTCTCTTTCTCTGCTCCCCCATTTTCTGTATATCTCTTAGTGTATATACTCATGTGTGTGTGTGTGTGTGTGTGTGTGTGTGTGTGTGTGTGTGTGTGTGTGTGTGTGTGTGTGTGTGTGTGTGTGTGTGCAGGGCCTGCTCAAAGTGGCAATTGACAACGCACGGGCTCAGGAGAAGCAGGTGCAGCTGGAGAAGACGGAGCTGAAGATGGAGCTGTTCAGAGAGAGGGAGCTCAGGGAGACTCTGGAGAAGCAGCTCGCCATGGAGCAGAAGAACAGAGGTACTGCCTGATGACTACCTGGCACTGAATCCTCTCTGTCAGCCGTGTGTGTGTGTGTGTGTGTGTGTGTGTGTGCGCGTGTGAGTGAGGCGGTGGGGGGGGGCATGTTTTAAATGTGTGTATTTGAACATGATATGAACATACACAGTTCTGCATGTTTCTGCATGTTTAATGTTTCTTATTGAAACACTGACATAAGTCGCTGTGTATTTCCTTGCTTACACATACAGTAATCTGCTTAGCCCCAGCTCTCTTGCTAATAGTCAGTTATCATAATTGGAAATACACATTAACTTAGAGAAATTCAGTCTCCATCTCATGTTAAATGCATCAGCTTCATATGCTAACTGTGCCGTTTATGTTTAATGAGAGAAATTCATGAAAAATATCCCAATAAATTTTTCAATTTGTTTTAATTCCCCCTAGCAGTTTGCTAAACCACAGTAAGATTTTCTTTTATAGGGAAGATCTTTACGTATTATAAAATATTTAAGTTTAATTGGTTTGTAACAGTATGCTATTTTTTTTTTAAATGAGGTGATTATCGTCTTTTGCTGCCAGAATGTGATATCTACAATAATCAGATTGTAGTCAGAGTAAGTCTCCTCTAATTTGCCCCAGAGCTCATTTATTGTTAACTGTGATCTTTCCCCATCTTAGCAATCATTCAGAAGCGTCTCAAGAAGGAGAAGAAGGCCAAGAGGAAACTCCAAGAAGCTCTGGAGTACGAATCCAAGAGGAGAGAGCAGGCCGAGCAGACTCTGAAGCAGCCCTCGCCCTCTGACAGCATGCGTTCACTCAACGGTCAGGCGCTCCACAGTGAGACACTATTACATTTCCTTTCCAGGTCTTTCAGACACATGGTGAGTTTTAGTGGGACAAAATGAGGAGAACAAAAGCAAATGGGTCAAAGATTTTTCAGGAGGTAAATGTTACCTGAAGGAAATATTGAGACTCTACCCTCAAGAATTATTTTATCAACAGTGCTAATAAAACAGTTTTAACCATATTATTAATTACATTAATANAATAAAATAATAAATAATAATAATAAAACAGTTTTAACCATATTATTAATTACATTAATAGCAGCAACAAGTACAACAGTGTTTTGGTCAAATGATGCATATCTCATTTGAACTTTCCCACTGCTGAAATACACATTTGCTGTCTGTTCTCATTATGTCCTGTGAATTTTCTCACCTTGTGCTCAAAGGCTGCAACTAACAATAATTTTATATTCATATCAGTTCATCGGCCGATTATGATGTTGATTGTTTTACTACATGTCTAAAACTAGTAAAAAAAAAAAAACATTAAAAAAACACAGAACAGTCCAAAGCTTCAGTTCAAAATGATGTAAAACAGTTGGGAAGAAGGAACCACAAGATGATTGGCATGTTTGCATGGAAACAATTAGCTAGTTATCAAAAATACTTGCCAAGTAATTAACTTTCCTTCTAATCTACAAATCGATTAATTGTTTCAGCTCTTAAGTGCTGAGTGTTCAGTGTTCTTTGCAAAACATCACAGTGTCATGTGCAGAGAGTATTCAATGTAATACATATTTACAAGAACTTTAAATTGCAGGTAGAGGTACAAAACAAATAAGTAGCAAGTACTGAAACTAAATACAGTTATTGTTCCTTACTTTAATCTGACAGCTCAAGTTACTTGTTTGCAAAGTTGAGGATTTCCATAGAAAACAAGACGAGCTCATAACTGCTACTGTTCTACTTCAAACCAGCCAGATGTGCTGACTTCAAAGAAAATGTCATTCTAACATGGTAGTTAGTTGTGCAGATCATTTTCTAAACATAAAATCTAAAACTACAGGAACATCTCCTACATTTACTGTAGTGATGTTTCATCATTAGTTCACTGGTTAGGTCTGCCACAAGCAGTTTACAGTGCAGTATGGAATCATTATGCCAGTACAAAATCAAAATACTATGAATATTTAATACTTGTTCAATTTTACCTGTAACACCTTTTACTACCATTTATACATACTACTACACATTTGTACTTTTATTTAAGCAAACAATTGAATGCAAGGTGACACTTTTTATGGACAATTATTCCAAAGTGTAACACAAAGGATTTGAGTATCTTGTTATTCACCACTGATTATAATCGCACAATTCCTCCAACACACACATGCAGAGGAGACGTAGCTTGAAGGCTAAGCCTCTTGTTTTGAATGAACGATGCTGTGAAACTGGCATTGTGATAGGTGGATGTCAGGGATGTTTAACGGCGGTGATCCCTCTCTTCTCTCAGACTCTCTGACCCCTGAGATGGAGAGTGACCGCAGCAGTGGAAGAACAGATGCTGAAAGGACAATACAAGGTACAGGGGCTCAGATGAGACAATAAATCTCTCTCTCTTTCTCTGGCTCTCACTCTTGCTCTCTTTCTCTCTGCCCCCCCCCCCACCCCCCCATCCTCCCTCCTCTTCTCGCTCTCCCTCACACTCACACACTCACACACTCACACACACAGCTCCAGTTTATGAACATTAGTGTTTCTGTGCCTGCTGTTCAGGCATACAGCTCACCATCTGGGCCACAGCACTGGGTCAAGATCATTGGTTTTCTGTTGAAATAATATTGTTCTTTTACTTGACTTTTAGTGGCTGTGATCCCTTTAGGAAACAGATCTTTTTTAGAAAAAAACAAAAAACAAAAAAACAATGCAGTAAGTAAAACAGTGCAACAACTAAGCTGTAAGGATGGAGAGAAAGAATAAAAGAAGTGGTTTGTTTACAGCTCAGGAAGCATTAATGAGTCATAAAACCACAAAAAGCAGTGGAATCCCCCCTTTGATAGTAATAAACGCGGCAAATCAATCCATTTTATGAATAAGCCTTGTACATTTTTAATGGTTTGTTTGTTTGTTAGCCTTGGGGGTGCAGTATGTGTTTGGGGAAGGGCGCTCTAGTGATAACCTCTGTAGACTGTCTGCTATCTGTGTTTACCCAGATACAAGACACCTTGCAGAGGTTGAATATCCTCATTATTACTCGAACGTCTTCCTTTAATACGCCTCAGCTGCATCTGCTCAGAACCGCCCTTATCAGTGGGAGAGGTCCCAATTTATCTGGGAAAATGCTCCATGTAATTTGCTGTGAAAAGTGGAAAATATTCATCTTTGTATGCAAGAATAAGTTAGGTCCCTTTTAATTCTTTAATGTTTGATTAGTCTACTTGAACTGATATTTTGTAAAAGGGCAAAAAAGAAAGAAAATGTACTAAGTGAAATGATGACTCCTCCTTAATTAAATGTCATTCAGTCACTGCGGGGATCTGAAACAGTTTGATGTCCAAAAAAAGGAAATCCATATGTCATCATTTAAATACAAAGATAACTTCCAGATACGGCATAATTATAGCCCCCTATTTCATACCAGATTAGTATATTTAGCCACTTTAATTTCTAACATTTTACACTTATATGAAGAGCTGGCTCTTTGTAGTGTATTTGTATCAAATTAAATGTGTTAAAGCTTTAAACTTACAATAACAGCAGCCACTGGCCGGCGTTAATGTATAGTTTAGGTTGAAATCAAGCAGAATTAGATTTTTTTTTTTTTATTATTTTTAATCTGATCCCTGCTTGGAATCATTTTTAAGGTCTCTCAATCACTCTGATCGTTGCCTTGAAGAGCAGAATGAAGGAGGAAACTGAATAACAGGCTGCACTTTGTGTTTTTGTTCAATTAGAGAAGCATTTGTCTGCCACCCATGTCTCCTCTGCTCTACTCTGCAAGCCTAGCTGTATAATTAACCTCAAATGGCAAAAAATGATGTTGATAAATTACACAAGCAGAAGGGGAAAAAACAAGCCTATCACTCGCATGAAAGCCGAGAGAAATGTGTGGGTATTTTCTCAACTCCAAACTCAGGGAGGCGAGTGGAGAGAGAGAGAGAGAGAGAGAGAGAGGGGGAAAAAAAAATAATGAGGGCATAATTTTAGAGAACTAATTATTTCTATTTGTCTTTTGTCACACTTCTCTAATTCTGCGATATTAACACAGTCTGTGTTTATTAATTGCTTTTACAGTGTTTTGAATCAGGTCCAAGAGGGAACGTGGCTCTTTTCACAGGCAGGCAAGCTACTGGGACTGTACCTCGCCAGTACTGCCTGGCAACGGTGCACATGCGAATATCTTCCCCCAGTATCTTCTCTGGTTCCCTGCCGCTTCCCACTCGATGTGTTCGGCAAGTTTACACGACCCTGTGCACAGAGATAAAGTTCTTTGTTGCAAGATTAAACATCAAAACAGTTAAAGTGAAATTAAAATTAAATGAATGAATGTCACTGAAGCAAAAAAGACTGTAATTAATGGATCCCTTAATTGTCTTCATAAAATATTTGCATGGGCATAATTTGCATAATTTACATGTATTAATTAATCTTTCAAAGGAATTTTATGCTGAGAGAAGCCAAAAATTCCCTTTGTTTTATTTAGCATCTAATGAAATATTTATTCTCTTTAATGAACTTTTCATCTTGATTTGAATATAAAAATACTAAAGTTTTAACATATTTTAATGAGACAGTCTTTCATAAAACCGTGTGTCAAGACGTCACCAGTTTTTCTATTGGCGTATATGAAGCAGATGTTTCAACATTTGCACTTGTCTGAAAATGGATTTGAAGCAGCGAGATCTGCTCATCAAGCCTATGCTCACTTATTCCCTATCTTTCATGATAATTGTATCAAGTAAAACGCCGCGATATCTAACATCCTCTTGACAACGCATTAAGTGTTGCCATCCGTCAAATAACCAGATCGTCTTCGTTTTCATTAACACAACTATAAACTGCTCCAACTGTGAAGCAGGGCAGGCAGGGTGTGAGGGGGGTGTGTGATGTTTCATCTGCTCTTGTTATGAAAGGCGTGCACATGTGTATCAAGTTGTGTATCCCGGCCCGCACTCTTAGCTCTCTCCAGCCAGCAGCCCCCCCACCCCTCCCTTGCTTTCTCTTCTCTTACTAGCACTGCATTCATGCTGTAATGACTTTTACACAGAACTCAGTAGTTGTTGCTTGAATAGAGGCAGCCAGAGTGCAATGCCTTTGAGACCTACGGCAGTGCTGGGTAATTAGCCTGTGTGTTTGTACACCCCTACCCCTCCTCCCCAACACACACACACATATTGTACACACACACACACACACACACACATACACACAACAAGCCTTTGTTGTCTCCGCACTCTCTGCACTATACAAAAAAACACAGAGAGAAAAGGACTGATTGATAAAATATTGATAATGTAATGAGTACAGATTATAAATGGAGCAAAAACAAGTTGAAACGTAGAGGAAATCAGGAAATAAAATGTCTTTTTAATTATAGAAAATAACCTGATGCTTCAGTGTGTTACAGAGCAGAGATACTCTCAGACTGTAACAGGTGTATTCTCCATGTCTCTGAAGAATAGGACGCGAGCGTTTTCTCTGATGTCCTGCGCGGCTTGTGTCATGTCCGACAACTTGTGCTGCTAAATGTCTTTGTGTGCGTTTCTCTTTAACATTGAATTATTTAGGCGCGCTGCCACAGAGAGGTGTGCTTCTTAAAGGCATTACCGTAGCGTTCTCCGGCAGAGGAAATGTGGAGGTAATAAACGTCAAACATGCTCCTGAGCTGTGCCTAACAGATGCTTTTACCAGCTCAGCGTCGGTGCAGCGCTGCTCGCTCAGGCGAACACTCAGACAAGAGTGTTCGCTGGAAATGGACAAAGCTCGTTAGGTTGGAGGTGTCTGGAGATAACGCAGGAGAGGAATGTCTGCTGTTTTCAATAAACACTATTTCCATGCAGGAAATGTCACTTTGAGAACGCTTTACATCATCAGTGCAGTAATATGTTCAAACAAGCGTATCAGTAGAGATGTCTCAAACACATGCAGCACACAGATCTGATGCCTTAAGTGTGGTTATCATAGCTGCTTTTACAGTGTGTGCTTTGTTGGTAATAAAATATACATGTAACAGTGTAATTATATTTGTATGTCCTGACTGATGTACTGTATGATCTTAAATACAATGCTAAAACTACTTTGAATTAACTTCTTAAATGACATAGTTTCTACATGATTATTTCTTATATGTGTTGCTACTAAGAAAGTATTTTACTGTACGTGATATTTAATCATATTTGTCATGGTTGCTAACTTTATCTTATCCTTAAATCAGTTTATGAATCCATAATAACGCTGCTGAAATTGAAAGACTAGAGGGCAACATTTCAAAGTTAACGTTTCATCAACACTCACATCCTGAATAGTACATTTGCGTCAGCAGGATGTTAGCTGTTGGCTAATCCTTGGCTCCTGTGTGTCCTCTGTTGCAGATGGAAGACTGTTCCTGAAAACCACAGTGATGTACTGATAAGGCCGAGAGGAGCTGGAGGAAATAAAAATTTCAGAAAAAAAAGGAAAAGAAAAAAAAAAGAAAGAGAGAAAGAAAGAAAGAAAAGAAAACCCATGAAGATTCTCAAGAGCCCTTATCCAGGCTGATTTAGTAGTGGAAGAAGTCAAGCTGCTTGTAGGAGTTCAATGGAAATGCTGTGTTCACCCAAATGCTGGAGGAGGTTGTGTCTGAATGTAGAATAAGAAGTCTTTTTTCATCACAGAGGCCAACATGAAATAGTTTGATAAAGCAGGTTTTCACATAAACGGGTTGGCCAATGTGAAGGATAAACATATATATTGAGCACAGTAAAAATGTACCCATGGTACACTGTTGGTAATAACTCATAAATTCACAGCACTGAAGATTTTTATACTGTATCTCAGCCAGCGAGAAAGCTTCGAAAAAGAAATTCGACTGAAGTTTTGTTTTGTATTTCAAATTGAATTTTGAGAAGCTAAAAATGACACGTGGAGATGAACCTTGTGAAGAAAAAAAAAATGTGAATCTATCCATGTGTTCATCAAAAGAGAAGACTGATGTTTGATTTTAATGTTTTCTAAATTAGATGACAATACAATCAAGTTTCCTTTTTACCATTGTTGTATATACAAGATCTGATGATAAATGATAGGAAAACTCACTCTATCGAACCCGAGTGGATTGATAAGGTATGTGTATATAACGTTAAGAGGTATTGTGTATGCAGTAGAGCTATTAGGCAAACAATACCACCATTTATATAAACCTACAGTTTTGTTTTGTTCTATTTCTGAGCCATCATTCTTTCCTATAGCTGCCATTTTGGTGAGAAAGCATGCAGGCATGTAAATGTTTGTCCTGGAATTATGATATTTAATAAATCCTATATTGTGCTGAACAAATACTAGGGTTGACTCACTCAAGCCCAGATGATTTTGAAAACATAATTATCAAACATTTCACTTTCAAAAATGAAGACTTTTGCTGTCTATAGTACTGTAATCTTTGTAACAGAGGTAATATTTCTTGGAATTTACTGTACATTTGTCATGAGACACACAAAAATCAGCACCTCTCGATACCTTTTTTTAAAAAACAAAAAAAAAAATATCCAGACTAAATATGATCACGTGTCAGCTTGAGAAACAATCAGTCATGACACAATGTTTTCGGATCTGAATGCCATTTAATTACATTGCTCAAATCCCTGTTGAACCTCCACAAACACACTCTTCTTCTTTTTTAAAAGAGTGTTTCATGATATCCTAATGAGAAAAAAAAAACTCATAATTTATAATTTTCCTGTTACTTTCCCTAAAGACTTCTGAATTTCAGTGCTGAAACACCTGTGTATATTCTCTAGACATGAGCTGATGTCAGTCCTTTTAACTGAAAACGGTTTAGACCTTATGTGTTACAGTCAGGAGGAGAGAGGAGGAGGAGGAGGAGGGAGGAGGAGGAGTGTCCCATGTTCACAATGTGTTTGTTCTTTTTGTTCTCAATGGCGTGTCTAGGTCTGTTGTCACTGATAACTTATATAGCTTCTCGAATCATCTCTTCATTGTATTTCAAATTCAAATAAAGTTAACATGTTGATGATAAACTGTGAGTTAACTATGTTGCCCGACGTCGCCACATGACACTGATTTAACACATAAACATGGAGATTGTCACCCACTGAGATAGCCCAACATAACGGTTCAAGATGATCTGAAAGAAATGTAGCCAAGTGTTTTTGTTTTTGTTTTTGTTTTTTTGTTTTTTGTTTTGTTTTGTTTTGTTGGGGGTGGGGGTGGGGGGGGGGCAGCTGCTTTCTTTGCAAATCACTGTTGTGTTTTCAGCGTATTGGTTTCTGAGACCGTTACAATCAGCCCTCAGTCTTTTAACTCATTTCTATGTATTATGTATGGCCTAAAAAAACATTGCAGGTTTCTGTGCTGTAGAAAATAAATGAACATATTGTTCTTCCCTTTATATTGCAGTAAAAAAAAAAACTATGCGTAATCAAATGATGCGAATATCTTGTGTAAGTTTTTCCTTTCTTTTCAAAGAGTGGATGCGAGTGTGTGTGAGAACCCTTTGACTTGCATGTGTGTGTTTTTTTTTTGTTTTTTTTTTAACTGCATCGGCTAATCCTAGAAAAAAATGTTTAAATAAGGGTGTGACCAAGCTCACTGTAAATAAATTATTTCATGTGTACTTTCACGTGTATGACGCTAATTCATAATATATCACCATAAAATAAACAACACTTCCAACTTAACCAGCTGTACATGCTGCGGGGTCATGCATCATAATATTAACTTTAAATAACACTGGGGCCTTGAGGGAGTTGAAAATGGTGTGTTTTTCAAATAGTTTATTTCAAATGAGACATTGTCTGTTATTGTGGTACTTCATACAGATTTCTTCCTGATTATTTGCTGTACTGTTCTTCAGTGACATTATTTATTTGGCTCTAATGACACAGTAGTTATGCACAGGGATCATTTCAGAATAACTGTAACAGGTACAGCTCTTCAAACACATAAAAGAAAGAAAAAAACACGAAATCGACATTGAGAGAAGAATTTCTTCAGTAAGCAATTCTGAGTGAAATGTGTTGACACAGCATGCTTGGCCCATTCCCATTTTGCATGCTTTTTAAAGCATGGCCATAACACAGCCACGGAGATGAATAATTGACTGATTGCTGCATAATTCAATGCTGCATTGTAAAAATTCAAGGCCTGAAATATTTCAAGCTTTTCTTCTTTTTATTAAAAATGAGGTTAAAGTTTCAATCAACCTTGAAAGAACAATATGACACACAATGGGCAATCAATCATGAAACCATGCTTCTCGTTGAGTTCAGACTGTCGCTGCTCCTCTCGAAACTTAAGCTCACTCTGGAGTGAAAGAAACTGTGACATCACGTCCACTTTATCCATCTAATGACTCAATCGTTCCTCCTTTTTCTTACTGCAGTGAAAGATTCACTCCACTTGCCTCCAATGAGCTTGTGAGACATGAGCTGTTCACTGCTATTACTCAGATATTCTGTTTATTTCTCTATCTGATGCCTTTTTCTGCACTGGCATCTGAGAGAAGAGGCCCTGCAGCTACATGTTTCATATCACTGCACATTTTGTAATAAATTCAATTCAGTACAAATATGACCATGAGGCACAAAGACTTTAAATACCAAATGTGCATTATAGCTGTGTTGTTGCATTTCACTTCACTGTAGTGTGGAAAGCGCAGTGCTGATTGCATATTCAAAGCATTGAAAGCCGTGTGAGCTGTGTGCTTTATTTACTCGGCTTGACGCGGAGATGTGCTCATGAAGACATCATCCAGACGTGATTATTCCGCATGATCCTGTCTCTTCTGTCACTGCTTGCCTGATGTCACATTGCACAATTTGTTGTTGTTTTGTGCTTGCTTGACCAGCTAAAGAAAAGTGTTTATCCTCACACACTGCTGACAGATTTCTTTTAACACGTTAAGGATAAAAATAAAAAAAAGTTTCGCAAGAGAGAAATGAAGTTGTATTTATATTTCAGCGTAGTGTGAACTGCAGTGTTAACCCCGACCAAGCTAATTCTTTGCTCATCATCGCGACCAGGAGATGGCCATTTAGTGAAAGCAGTAATTTTGCATGTCTCTTGATAACTCAGTGGTGCCCTGAGTCTGTGGAGAGACATTAGGAAGGTGCAGGCTGATTGTCTGAAAGATAGGACTAATGTCACCTAATCAGATAGACCATTATGTATTAGCGAAACTACAAAACAGTTTTATCTGACAAGGGCCAGGCCACATTACCTAAATTAACATTTTGCAAGCGTGAACATGGAAGACCACAGAGGCGAGGGGAGGGCTATAGGACTGCGGCCTGCGCTTAGACATTCGGCAGTAATTATTAATTTATGATTGTCTCTGGTCTTAATGAAAATGAAAGCCAGGAAAGAGAACAGGGAGGGATAATGTGGCGTGAAATTGAGTTTCATTTGTACAGGGGCCACCTTTTAACTCTGCGCTTCTTAGGCGGAAATGGAGCCGAGCGCTTCCCTCTCTCTCTCTCTCCCTCTCTCTCTCTCTCTCTCCAGAGAATGTATCTCAGTGTTTTTTTTTGTTTTTTTTTAATCATGCTCTCTCTCTGCTTTCAGTCTTTCAGTCAAAGCGTGTTCATATCCTCTCATCCTTTTGTGATATTTGGGGCCAACACGCCCTTTAACATCTCCATTACTCGTGTAAGGCCTTTTCAAAATGACACAAGGCTCTTTGATGTCTGATAACTATGTCAACAAGTTTCTTGAATGGAAATGTCTCAGCACAGCGCTTCTGTAATGTCAACAAGGCAGCGCAGAAAGGTCTCGGACCAGGTTGGCATGAGAGGGGCCAAAAGAAAGGTAGATTGATTTACCCAAGATTGTATGAACTATAATACCCTGTTGATACAATACAAGACTGAACTAAGTTTAAACTAAGTGTTTAATTTTTTCATTTTATTTTAATGCAAGCATATGACATAATGTTGATCCCTGTGGAGGGCAACATGCCAATTCAAGGCTTACACATACACTGAAGTGGTAATGGTTTAACAGCAGGAATAATGTAGGTGATAAGGGTCTTTTACACCCCTTTTCCCACCACTTCCATGAGACCTCTCAGACTTTTGGACCTCACTGCATGATGAATATTCTATATTATTTTGTATTAAAAGCCTATATATTGTAATTCTGGCCACGGTTTAGCTTGTTCATCAAACCTTTTTTTGTATTTTGAGGGTTAAACCGAAAGTACAGCTTGTTCAACTGCCAGAGGCTTTGTTAAGGGAAGTCATGAGACAACACTTCTGTTTTTTTTTTTTCACATGTCACTCTACTATGCTGCATAATCACTTATGGCTACAACCAATGTGCACATTGCAAAATGTTCTGTAGACGAGGGTAATGATATTGCTGCAAACAACTATTTTCTATTGTATGCAAAGATATAGTGGAGTAATTGCATCCTGAGCAGAGATTGAAGTCACAGTAACCTCTGTATGTGTCATAATCTTAGC